GTTATTAATCAGGGTCTTTCATTTTATCCAACCACCTTTTTCACAAGCTTTCATTGCAATCATTTTAAACCCTAGTATCCTCGATAGGATAAGGATTAAATAACAAAGAACATAGTAGGCCCATGATAAATTCCTTAAAAGCGCAAACTGCAATATTGCTTAACTACACACAGATAACCAAAATTAACTTAGTTACAATTAACATAGCTGCAATATTTCTGAAAAGGTTAACCATGTTATTTTTTAGCCTTTTATAAGTACATGACAACTAGATGTACATTTGATGTAGGATCAAGTATATGCCAATGCATATTATAATTTATAACATAAGCCAAAAGTTAATAAATCTAAATTCTTTCATCCTATATAAATCCTCAATGTTTCCTAATATACACCGGAAAAAAACAGTAGAATGAGAAAAATCCAAGAGGTCGAATGAGTGATCTTTATAATAGGTTGAGACATGAAAAGTTGGGACAAGAACTTAAAACCTTAAGATCCAATTGACAACATAGTTTGAACTAAATTCAGGTTATAATATACACTCTTAATAGCAAGGTTCGCAATACCGTACCATACCGGTATTTCGACCTGGGCTCGGTACCGGTACGGTACGGTGTACCGAGCACTGTAGCAGTGCTACACTGCTACAGTACTACTGTAGCACTGCTACAGTGCGGACCGGTACCGGACGGTCCGCGTACCGCTGGCCTGTCGGACCGGTACGTACCGCCCGTACCGGACGGTATGATTCGGTATAGCAGACACTGCTTAATAGTTTATTGTGTGTTTCCCTTCAAATGTACCAACAAAAGAAGACCAAGATGTCTCCAAATCTCTCATTTAGAGAGGAGACATCTCTTCCACCAAATTCCAAAAAGAAGCTGATCTAAAAAGAGGTCGCAAGAAAATAGATCCAAGATGAGGCTCCTGATACTATATAGACTTGCTCATGAGCTCAGCTCATTCCTTTTCTTTTTGCTAAAAATTTAAAATCCCTGATATTATCTAAATTCAGAAAAATCAAACAATATACACATCAATATCTCCTTATCCCTTAAAAACTTGATACCTATGAATCCTAGTGACACAAAAATCTTTGCCACTAATCATGTTATTATCTTTGTTTTTTAGCCCTTTATACGTACATGACAACTAGATGTACATTTGATGCAGGATCAAGCATATGCCAATACATATTATAATTTATAACATAAGCCAAAAGTTAATAAATCTAGATTCTTTCATCCTATATAGATCCTCAATGTTTTCCGATATACATTGGAAAAAAACTGCAGAATGAGAAAGACCCAAGAGGTCGAATGAATGATCTTTATCATAGGTTGAGACTTGAAAAGCTGGGACAGGAACTAAATTTGGGTTGAAATAGACACCCTTGAATAGTATATTGTTTGTTTCCTTTCAAACATCCCAGCTAAAGAGGACCAAGATGTCCCCAAATCTCTCATTTAGAGGAGATGTCTCTTCCACCAAATTCCCAAAAGAAGCTTATCTAAAAAGAGGTCGCAAGAAAATAGATCCAAGATGAGGCTCCTAATACTATATAGACTTACTCGTGAGCTCAACCCATTCCTTTTCTTTTAGCTAAAAATTTAAAATCCCTGATACTACCTAAATTCAAAAAAATCAAGCAATACACATGATAATATCTCCTTATCCCTTAAAAACTTGATACCCAAGAATCCTAGTGACACGAAAATCTTTGCCACGTACGGGTGGAATTCCTTTAGCCTTTTAAAGGCAATGACTACTTATGGCCCAATGAATTTAATTTTTTAATATTTTTTACATTGCATAAATAAAATCAGGTGGCTGGTGCCATCTTTTTTCCTGGAAACAATCAACTGATGATTAATTGTAGGGGCTAACACTAAGATGTCCCATATCAATATATAGAGGTCAACCAAGTTAGATCTATCATTTATTGCCGAAAGAACTAGCCACGAGTTATTGATCATGGTTTATCATCTTATCCAATCACCTATTTCACAAGCCTTCATTGCAACCCTTTTACACCCTAGTATCCTCGATAGGACAAGGGTTAAATAACAAAGAACATAGTAGGCCCATGATGAATTCCAGAAAAGCGCAAGCCGTAATATTGTTTAACTATACACAAATAACAAAAATTAACTTAGCTACAATTAACATAGCTATAATATTTCTGAAAAGGCTAACCATGTTATTATCTCTGTTTTTTAGTCCTTTATAAGTACATGATAACTAGATGTACATTTGATGCAGGATCAAGCATATGCTAAAGCATATTTAATTTATAACATAAGCTAAAAGTTAATAAATCTAGATTCTTTCATCCTATATAGATCCTCAATGTTTCCCGATATACACCGGAAAAAAACTATAGAATGAAAAATATTCAAGAGGCCAAATGAGTGATCTTTATCAAAGGTTGAGACATGAAAAGCTAGGACAGGAACTTAAAATCCTGAAATCTAGTTGACAGCATAGTTTGAACTAAATTCAGGTTGCAATATATACCTTTGAATAGCATATTGTTTGTTTCCTTTCAAAGGTACCAGATAAAGAGGACCAAGATGTCTCCAAATCTCTCATTTAGAGAGGAGACCTCTCTTTCACCAAATTCCCAAAAGAAGCTGATCTAAAAAGAGATCGCAAAAAAATAGATCCAAGATAAGACTCCTGATACTATATAGACTTGCTCATGAGCTTAGCTCATTCCTTTTCTTTTAGCTAAAAATTTAAAATCCCTAATACAACTGAAATTCAAAAAAATCAAGCAATATACACGTGAATATCTCCTTATCCCCTAAAAACTTGATACCCAAGAATCCTAGTGACACGAAAATCTTTGTCACTTACGGATGGAATTCCTTTAGACTTTTAAAGGCAATGACTACTTATGGCCCAAAGAATTTAATTTTTTAATATTCTTTACATTGCATAAATAGAATCAGGTGGCTGGTGCCACCTTTTTTCCTGGAAACAATCAACTGATGATCAATAGTAGGGGTTAACACTAAGATATCCCATATCAATATATATATGTCAACCAAGTTAGATCTATCATTTATTGCTGATAGAACTAGCCACAAGTTATTGATCAGGATCCATCATCTTATCCAACCACCTTTTTCACTAGCCTTCATTGCAACCCTTTTAAACCCTAGTATCCTCAATAGGACAAGTGTTGAATAACAAAGAACAAAGTAGGCCCATGATGAATTCCTGAAAAGAACAAGCTGCAATATTGCTTAACTATACATAGATAACCAAAATTAACTTAGCTACAATTAACATAGCTACAATATTTCTGAAAAGGCTAACCATGTTATTATCTCTGTTTTTTAGCCCTTTATAAGTACATGATAACTAGATATACATTTGATGCAGGATCAATCATATGCCAATGCATATTATAATTTATAACATAAGCCAAAAGTTAATAAATCTATATTCTTTCATCCTGTATAGATCCTCAATGTTTCCCGATATACACTGGAAAAAAATTGTAGAATGAGAAAGATCCAAGAGGTCAAATGAATGATCTTTATCATAGGTTAAGACATGAAAAACTGTGATAAGAACTTAAAATCCTAAGATCCAATTGACAGCATAGTTTGAACTAAATTCAGGTTGCAATATAGACCCTTGAATAGTATATTGTTTGTTTCCTTTCAAAGGTACTAGATAAAGAGGACCAAGATGCCTCCAAATCTCTCATTTAGAGAGGAGACTCTCTTTCACCAAATTCCCAAAAGAAGCTGATCTAAAAAGATGTCGCAAGAAAATAAATCCAAGATAAGACTCCTGATACTATATAGATTTGCTTATGAGCACAGCTCATTCCTTTTCTTTTAGTTAAAAATTTTAAATCCTTGATACTACCCAAATTCAAGGAAAATCAAGCAATATACACGTCAATATCTCCTTATCCCTTAAAAACTTGATACCCATGAATTCTAGTGACACAAAAATCTTTGCTACTTATGGGTGGAACTATTTAACCTTTTAAAAGCAATGACTACTTACGGCCTAATGAATTCAATTTTTGTATATTCTTACATTGCATAAATAGAATCAAGTGGTTAGTGATACCTTTTTTCCTATAAACAATAAACTGATGATCAATAGTAGGGGTTAACACTAAAATGTCTCATATCAACATATAGATGTCAACCCAGTTAGATCTATCATGTATTGCGAAAGAACTAACCACAAGTTATTGATCAAGGTCCATCATCTTATCCAACCACCTTTTTCATAAGCTTTCATTACAACCCTTTTAAACTCTAGTATCCTCGATAGGACAAGGGTTGAATAACAAAGAACATAGTAGGCCCATGATGAATTCCTGAAAAGCGCATGCTGTAATATTGCTTAACTATACACAGATAACCAAAATTAATTTAGCTATAATTAACATAGCTGTAATATTTCTGAAAAGGCTAACCATATTATTATATCTATTTTTTAGCCCTTTATAAGTACATGACAACTAGATGTATATTTGATGCAGGATCAAGCATATGTCAATGCAGATTATAATTTATAACATAAGCCAAAAATTAATAAATCTATATTCTTTCATCCTATATATATCCTTAATGTTTCCTGATATACACTGGATGTGACATTAAACATATAGCAGATGTTAGATCTCTATTAAAACCCAAAAAAAGTGTTCATAAGATAGTGATGTAATTTTCTAATCCAAACCTTTTGCCATAATTAAAAAAGTCCGATGCATACTTAAACATAGTAAATAAAACATTTGGTAACTATAATAAGATGCTATATCAAACATTTTATATTACTATGACTCATGGTGCCCTAGTAAAAAAAGTTTAAAAAGGAGAAGGAACTCAATATTTCTACGGGATTAGCTAATAAGCCTTCCCCGACTAAAGCAATAAGTCAAACGAGAAGAGGAAAGAGAAAAACAATATACAAAATCACATTACCAATCATATTAAATGATATGAAGAAAGCTCACTTACAAATGTGGCCATCTTAGCCCATTTGTTGCCTATTTTAGCATGAAGTTGAACGATCATTTCCTCCTCTTCCATCGAAAAGGCACCTTTCTTTAGATTTGGTTTGAGATGATTAGCCCACCGCAGCCGACAACTTTTACCACATCGAAACAATCCTGAGTTCTTCTGAACAGCATTCCAGTTTCCCTCCCCATGCTTTTTAACATATTCGACCAAAATCGCATCCTCTGCAGATGTCCAAGGTCCCTTCTTCAATACCTGACCATCTTTACCTATTGATTTTTCTCTGCTACCTTCATCAATTGAATGCGAAAATATATTGTCCTCTGCAATCGGTTCCTTTTCACTCTTAGTTGGCAAAAGATTCATTTTCAAGAACCTGGATCCAGCACAGAGCCCTTAGTATCCAATAATATAAAATGAATAACTTAATTGAAGTGTCTGATGATAAATCATTGATATTGATGATTCCCAAAAGTGAGAATCTGGTGAAAACCACAAAAGAATTAACCTAATTTATATAATACTGAACATATAATACTAAGCTATAGTTTACTTGGTGTTTCTTCAGTCAAAACTCGACGTAAATCTAATAGATCCAAGAATTGAAATGAAAGACTAACCTGAGAGTTTCACAACTAGTCTCTACTACACGAAACTGTTTCAACCTAGAAAATTGAAACTCCATGAAGAAATCAAGAGGATGCAGACAGTTAAACTAAACGATAACTCAAAATTTGAAAGCGACAATGAACAGAAATGAAGGAGACCTACGTAACAATTGTATTGAAACTAAAAAAATTACTTTCAGATTATTCCATAACAGCTAATAAGATAACAGTTGCAAGAAACACAGAAACATCAACAAGCCACTCGAAACTGAGCAGTTTAGATACTGTAAGCACTAAGCACTCAAAGGTCCCTACTTTCCATCTTAAACTAGATGCTACGGATCCACAAATGAACACTAGTCTCTACTACGAGCGACCGTTTCAACCTAGAAACTTGAAACTCCACAAAGAAATCAAGAGGAGGCAGACAGTTAAACTAAATGATAACTCGAAATTTGAAATCGACAATGAACAGAAATGAAGGAGACCTACGTAATAATTGTATTGAAACTGAGGAAACAAATGAAAACGACTTTCAGGTTATTCGATAACAGCTAATAAGATAACAGTAGCCAGAAAGCCACTCGAAACTGAGCTGATTAGTTATTGTAAGCACTCAAAGATCCCCGCTTTCCATCTTAAACTATATGCTACGGATCCACAAATGCACACATCTCCAAGAAAAACAACCCGTTCCATACTACATTGCTCCAGAAATCACCAGACAAGCAGAAGGCCACTCGATCAGCGGAGAGCTCGGATCTCTTAAAACAGGATCGCAGAATCTCGATGGCTTGCCCCATCGGGCCGCTGATGTCCAATGAATTTAAACCCCTGCACACCAACGCGAAAGACGGCGATCGGAGCTCGTTGCTTTTTGAGCGGCAAAGAAAAGAAAATTCGAATCTCGCAAAAATTGCGGATAAGGAGTAAGAAGATCAGGTGGCGGCCGCAACGGGGGGATTATCATTGGCGGAAGAAAATTCGAATCTTGCATACCGAATTGGCCCAGGATCCAAAGAATTCGCGTGGAGATAAAGCGTCAAAGCCGGGGAGATCGATGGATCGATCGAGAGACCGAGGCCGAGAAGGAGATCGGAGCATCAGCCAAGCAAGCTGGCGAGCGAGCGAGCGAGCGACCGCCCTCTTTTTCCTATTTTAATTTTAATTAAATTCTCAAAATTGCAGTTTATTTTCCCTCTCAAAATTCTCTCCCTTGCGGATTCGGGCGGACCCGCTCAAATCACCCCATACTACCCGATATTGCGAAACCGATGCTTATTGGCACCCGAAAACAGCACCATGTCGACACATACCAACGTGAAGCCGACGGTAACTCAAACGACGTTGTCAGATGTAGGAGAATTGGGTAGATCAACATGAGTAGCATAGGCGATAGAGCATCTACTGCTGTAGCTATTGGATCCGGGTCTAACTCCAATTAGACTATTCATCCGATAATAAGATCCGATGCAATTCATCATTTCATAAGTTTCAATGCAAAAAATTAAAATAAGATAAACTTAATTTTTAGTCTAATTAATCATGGGAGGAACATAGATTTTCTATGTCCCAAGTTAGAGAATCTCTATTTTTATTTCTTGATTTTTATCTCTAATTATAATAACCTATAAATGAATTGTTAATTTGGTGCCTTATTTTCATATTATGTCGATATAATATGTAAACGGATCGGATCCAGAAAGAAAATCCAAAACCCGATAAGCCGACATCTCTCGTTGGAATCGTAGTCTGCTTCCCGCCACGAGCACTTCGGCTACTTGATGTTGCCGTCGGGCGGTCTGTCGTAGCCGCAGAGACGACGCGTTTCCACAAAAGACACAGCAGCTTCTCCTTCTTTAATCCCTTCCCCTTGCTTTGCCTTGTTTCTTGTGTCAAGGAAGAGAGATGAGTGATACGTGACGTTCTCTCGTCGTTGAATTCGAGGGAGGGACGTCGTGTGGATGGGGACAGACAAGAGGAGAAATAGGCATTCTTGTTCTTTCTATTCTCCTAAGAAAGAATGGATTTTTGTGAAGGTTCTTAACCTAAGGATCAGATCTCTGCCATGGCGACGCCGGCGCAGCAAGCGAACTCCAGGAGGCTGTACCAAGTTTGGAAGGGAAACAACGTAAAGTTCTCCCTTTTACACTTTTGGTTTCTGATTAGCTGATTGTGGTACCTTGGAGGGTTATTAGATGTTAATTTCTTCTCCTTGAAATTGTCTATAGATGTAATCATGTTGTTCTAAGGATGCCTACAATGACTGACCCCAATCGATCTAGTTCTGGGTAATAGCAATTTCTAAGAGCAGCAACAACAACGAGAAGGAAAATAGTACCATCATAATCGTCTACGTGCCTCAAATGATGAGTTTAGGTTGAACTTGCGGCCATCTGGGATGGTTGAGGCAATAACCCATCTTTTGATTGCTATGCACCTTAGATATTTGACAGATTGCCTACAAAGGATTGCATGTGTTTCGATCAGTATTTGCAGAGCAGAAACACTAGATTTATTATGCTGTTTCAAAAATTGAGTATGTAACATGTATAATATTAGCTTGTTAATATGATATATAGCTAGCTGAGGAGCAGGAAGAGTTAAGAAGACCAAGTAGATACAGATTCTTTTGCATGTAGCACTCACTTGTATGTGCTTGAATTATTGGTCAAATTAATTCTTGCTCTGAAAATAATGCTGTTTGTTTACGTCAATAATCTTGCCATGGATTCTGGCACAGCAGGCTCTTGTTGACAAATCCTGCTTAATTTTCCTCAGAGGTTCTTCTGTGGCGGCAGATTGATATTTGGTCCAGATGTAGCCTCATTACTTCTATCAACACTTCTAATAGTCGGTCCAGCCATCACATTCTGTTGCCAGATCATCATAAAACTCCATGAGGATGAGAAGTCAGACGAGAGCCCTGATCGTCCAATACTTTGGCTTTCGATTCTGATGGTGGCATTTTTTGTCACCATATCTGTAAGCAATATATCAATCTTTTTTATGCTTAAATCTTGATAACAAATCAGTTCTGATCTACCATCGGCAATTCAGGATCTGGTGTTTCTCTTCATGACATCTAGCATAGACCCAGGTATCGTGCCAAGAAACACAGGGCCACCAGGAACAGATGAATCAGTTAATGTCAACACTCCATCGATGGAATGGATTGACGGAAGAACCCCACAGTTGCAATTGCCTAGAGCTAGAACGAAGGATGAAATCGTGAATGGTTTTGCTGTCAAAGTAAAATACTGTGAAACATGCATGCTGTATCGTCCACCCCGTGCTTCGCATTGCTCGGTTTGCAACAACTGTGTGCATAAATTTGATCACCATTGCCCATGGATTGGTCAGTGCATTGGACAGGTAAGCTAAGTTGGAGATAATGGACACTAGAACTGCTGTCAAAAAACCCTGATTACTCATGTTCTCTGCATTCATCTTGCTAACCGCCATGACCAGTAGTCTGCCAACTCAACTTCATGGCTTTGTTTTACTCATACATTGATTCTATGATATCATCTTCATGCATATGGTAGACCATCATTAACAATAGACCATGTCAACTGTTTGGCTATTGTTTACTTTGCCTATAATCATCTCTGCCATCCATGAAAACAAATTGTATGACAAGGCTCAACTATAGACTGAGGTCACTGAAACAACAGTTTCTTTTACAGACTCCAAATTCTTCCATCTTACTGTTGCCTCTTGATGTTACAGCTGCATTGGGTTTTGACCTCATATCAGACATCAGATATAGTGTCTTTGCATGATTCCATTATGACCAGCATTTACCTTTTTTTCAAGACGTTTACCTTTTTTTCAAGAAATAACTAAATATAAAACATCTGGATCCTACTTTTGAGCATTTGTCACATTTTCCTGCAGCGAAATTACAGGTTCTTCTTCTTCTTTATATCGACATCAACATTTCTCTGCATATATGTCTTCACATTTTCATGGCTGAACATTATTACCGAAATGAATCACCACCAATACACCATTTGGAAGGCAATGAAATGTGAGATTCTATCTCCTATGCTCATAGTATACACCTTCATCGTAGTGTGGTTTGTTGGTGGTCTCACTGTTTTCCACTTCTATCTAATCTGCACAAATCAGGTAAATCTTCCACTCCTGAATATTTTTCTTGATGCAAGCAGGTTGATAAATGATTGTTTGGTAATTTTGGTGAACTAAGTTATTTAAAAGTGAAGCATTCTTGGAAATCTTTGTTAATTCCTTGTGATGCCTTGGTTTTATCAAACTCCAAATTTTTTATAGTTATATATACAACTCTAATCAATTTTTTTCTGTTGCTATTCTTGCTACTATGTCCTAAGATACCCAAAGCTGTTTTCTATTGATACTGCAGACGACTAATGAGAACTTCCGATGGCGCTACGACAAGAAACATAATCCCTATGACAAGGGTTTCTTGAGAAATTTTGGTGATGTATTTTTGTCAGAAATCCCACCTTCAATGCATGATTTCCGATCATGGGTGACTGAAGAAACAATACAAGTTGAATTTTATACCCCAAACATTGATGCAGATGTCATAAGCCCGACGGAGAATATTGACATAGAAATCAGCACAGAACCTGCAATAGATGATAATTTGTCTGTTCCAAGCATACAGCAGAATTTTGATTGCAGTAGCAATGATGCATTAGATCCTTCTGTTCATCCTGTCACCCAGAATCCTTCTTTTCATGCACCAACACATTCTATGGAAAGCTATGATGGTGAAAATGGAATGCCTACAGATGAAACAAAAGGTGAGGATGTTGGTGGACCTGTAAAAGATGAAAGTGTCACTAAGCATAGCTGCTCAAATATGGTCGTAACTCCTGTTGAGGATGTTGACATGCGATCCACATGAGGTGATAATTTCTTCTATATACTTTTTTATGGATCTCAATTTTGTCAGCTCAAGTTTTGGCATGAAAAATTAATTGAATACCGTTAGAAGCTCATGTCTTCAGTTGGTAACTATAAACAGTATGCTTCTTGAGTTAGATATTAGATGCTCAATCATTTATATTTCTTATAGAAATAACTTTTAGAACCCAATGCAGCTGCCTTTGGAGACACAAACTTATATCTAGTGTGCAATCAGATGGTAACAATCTTACCCTGTGTAAATCCTCTCAACAAGCTTTTAGCATATGTTAGCTGAAACAGATATAGGAAGGACTTTTGTGCATTTGCAAGTTTTACTCCTTATCCTTTTTAGAGATGCATCACTTTTTCTCAGTTATTTCAGGACAATATCATCACTTTTTATCAGTCTAGCATCGTATCATTTTGTAACATAATACTCTCACCAGTGACAATGTAATGCCTCCAATAAACCATGGAGAAGTGTTTCTTTGTGACATCTTACTTGTAGGTCTGTGGTAATAAACATTAATTAGGCAAACAATATTAAAAAAAAAAACTCAGCGCTAGATAACAATTGAGTGATTGTATAGCTATGCTATTTGACTTTGAAAAGCTAACAAACATGAGATGAAACTCTAAATGAAGTGGACAACTAGAAAGTATACCAAACAATTGATTCCTATTTCATGAGCAGCATTGATTTGAAAAGGGCCTTTTTTGAATTACTACTACTTCCTTGACTGCTAATAGTTAAAAGTAAAATTAATAAAGTCAAATAAGCTAGAACATCTTTACATTCTGACTCATTGGCTCCATGGTTTTTAGGAAAGTAGACATAAAAGGGCACATTTAATGAGAGTTCTTGTTGTCAAACAAATTTGTGAGATGGCTTTTTTCTTCTGAAAATAAAAGCTTCACCTTTTTTTCTTGGTTGGGAAGAAGGATGAGCATCAACATGCAGACCATTATTCATGATGAAAAATCATTTTTTTGCATATTTCATAACCTTATCTTGGAAATGACTGCAAACTTTTAATATAGTAGGTAGTTTCAGAGGATGGACAATAATGACTGCACCAAAACCTGAATACCTGGCATGAATAATTGAACCACACCATCTATTCATCTTATCAGACGATTGATATGTTGCATTTATATCATAATTCATCAGCTACTCAGGATATGCAATATAGCAGAGTATTTTTGGGAGAATTTTCTTTAAAAAATATACTTTGTACATTGTTATTCTCATTGCCAAGAAACCTACAACATTCTGAAAACTAGTGTCAGAATTATGGAAACCCAGTCTCCTGATTGCTTCATGTGGGCTCTTGAGATCAGTAAATATATAGTTTGGTTTCTTTTACTTGCAATTGAACTTGATTTTGAATCAATCTAATTACAGATATGCTACTGTGTCACTAACGTTTGAATCTGCATTTGCAGGATTAAGATATGTGCATTCTGATTCAGTTCTGAAGATCCAACTTTCTTGTGGTGTATACTCTTGAGATCCAACTTTTTGTTCTTCTAATTGAGCAGCAGCAAAATTCCAAATATGAAACTCTAAACCAGACTGCAGTACATCCAAGTGTCAGAGAAGACACTAGAGATGCTCATCTAAATATGTGATTTGTCTATAATCATGAACTATTGTGTCTGTTGGACAATATATGGTATTCAAAGATGTTATTATAGTGGACATTTACCAACTGTTTGAGAGAACTCAATACAATTATCTCTGCAACATTGGTGGGATCTCCTTCCCTCCACCTTTTCCTCGATGCATATGTTCATGCAGCATTTACCATCATGCTTGCAGACAGTATGTTTCTTACACTTATATCAACACCCAGAAGAATCTATCAAAAGATCATAACAGCAATCAAATTCTTTTCCTTGAAATCAGTAACTCCATACCATCTAAAGATAATGAATTGGACAGCAGCACACTTGTAAGCAGGGCATCAAATGATGTATCAATATATCAAAACAAGAAGCACAAACAAGCAGTTCTGAGAATAACATACTAAGTGCACAACTCTAATGACTCCATTACAAGATCTCCAACATTTCAAAATAAAAAGATGGTAATGGTTTCGTTAGACAGAGGGTTTCAGTGTAAATTTGAAGTTACAAATATCCGGTGCAATTCAACAACAGTAAAAGGCAAGCTTGGTAAGAAGGAAAACCTATTTAAACTCTGCATACACCAAATGCCAATAGAATCATCATCTCAAATAGGCCAATCAAAATCTAACAGTTTCGCAAAGCTTGAATTGAGAATGCTTCAGTTGCTAACCACGTTAATTTGCCCTCAACCAGCCTTTACTTGGACATAAGGCCTACACTGAAGAATTTGGATACAGAAATTGGTGGGACAGAAAAAAATGCTAATGACAAAAGTCTTCCATATTTATGCTCATCCATGTCCATGGTTGACACTTTATTGGCTGAAATCGTTAATGCCAACATAGCCGCAGGGAGAGAATGTAATTTTAGATTAATCTAAAGGCAACTGTGAGATCCTCAGCATATCCAGAAACATCAAAAAACCAACAATCAAGGCTGATAAACATCAGGTAACCGAAGACCCACACTGGCAGCAGATTTATGCAATACTTTCTTCATTTCATCCGATCGATCCACAGCTATGTTGTATGAAAAGAGCAATTCCTGAACCACCATCGTCAACAAATTAGATTTTGTTTCTCAAAAATGTGAGGAAAGAAAAGCAGAACTAAGGATCTATAGGAATAAAAAACTAGCAGAACCAATACAACTTTAACAGCAGAATATGTAGAAACAAAAGTTAACATACATGATATTACAACATCAACAAACATGTACATGCCACCATTAATGTATCAACAAATATCCACCTGCCTAGAACCTTCAAAGTACAAATTTACTAAGGAACATATCCCAATTCATCCATCTAATTCAGGCATATGAAAGATTCATGTAAATCATATATAATGACTAGAAGGAATTAGGAAGGGAAAGCATTTTCAACTTAGAGGAAAAATTGAAAATTAACCTTATGATGGTGCACACTGTTCAGTAGGAAAGTGTACTCATGAGCCAGCTTGATTTTGTTCTCAACTGTAGCCTGATCAGACACAGAAGCATTTTTTCGGAACTCCTCAGTGATGTAATTTCTGAAATGCCTTTTGCTGCCATCATTACCAATATATTTCTTTACAGCTTTGAGAAGACTGCGATACACCTTTGCAGCTTGTATAGCTTCAGATCCCATATCCAAGATATCCTACGAGAGTCCTGAAGTTAGTGATCACCAAAAGAAGTAATAACGTATATTTGATTATCTGCTGCAATTTCAACATTTTTTTAAACGTCATAAGCATGTTTTCCGAAATCACAACTTGATATATAGATAAGTAACTGGAGAAATCAAAATGGCAAAATTGAATGGAACTTAACCAATTTGATGCTTGAGTCTATTTGTTTATTACAAGGCATCTTACATATCACTTCCTAGGTAATGTAGGGAGCAGGACTTGGCAAACTATATTTATTTATAACAACAGCATTCCAAAAAGTGTAAGAATATGTGCATCTCAATTTATGGGTGGTAGACACCTAGTCAACATAAATTCCATGAATTTCTGGGTACGTTTCAAATATAATAGAGAAGATTATCGTACAAGTTCCCAAATTCCAGGCAAATATATCAGATGTTAAAAAAGCTTAGAAACAGAAACCTTTTGTTGTTTGCTTTGGGTTTTGGATGGTGTTAGGGATATGAATAGGACGAAGGAAGAGCAAAAGGTCAGATGTTTATTGTGGGATTTCTCACTTCCCCAGCATTGCAAAAAAAATAAAGGGCAAATTGCATTAAAGAAAGCAGGCTCAGACTTAGCCAGCTTCAAATTTGCTAAGTGCACAGCACATGCCACAGACATTGCTGCCTCATCTTCTTTTTTCCTCTTCAGAGGGTGCCTTGTGATAAATCCAATGAACCTACAAGTGCATAATTGAGAGTGTTTCCTAAAGTCAATAAGCTAAAAGTTTCTGTTTCTTTTCCATCTACCAGAAAGGATGGCAATATTCTATGAAGCGGAAAGTATGCAGAAGGGAAGCACTTAAAAAACAATTTCGAGGTAAACCTAAAGAAAACGAAAACCAAAAAATCAGATGGTTGATTATTCCTAATCTTACAGAGAAAATTGTAGGTGCACCACAGCGAACATGTCTAAATCTTATATTTCCTTCAAAGAGAAAAAATATTATTATACACCTCAAAAAATATATAATAAACTGTGTGTCGGTACGCTGGTACATAGATACCACGGAACCATTTGGGGCAGGGGGAGAAGAGGAACAAGGAAGAAGACAAAGGAAGAGGAGGAGGAGGAGGAGCAAGAGGACGCAGCAGAGGAGTGGCGGAGAAGGATGGATACTGGCGTAGGCGATGCGGGCTTGCGATTCGATTGGGCGACAGCGCAGGCGCAGAGGGCTCTTTCTATTCAGATCATCAAATGGGATTGAACACAATGAAGGCACGACCAGCGTAAGGAAGCAAAACATTTCAAGCATATATGTAGATATAAGAGGAGGGATTGCATCTAAACATTCTTTACAAGAATCTTTTCGCTCGCCAGCTATGAAAAGAAATTTCAACATCCCAAAATGAAAAAGAAAGTGAGAAAGAACATTTCTTTTAGCAAAAAGACCTTATTTTGTTAGATCTCCATATAAAAGTGAGAAGAAACTGACCTTTTGTTTCCAAAGATGGGGTGGTTTCCAGGAGGGCGAAAGAAAACGAGTGAGGAGGCGGTGGAACAAATAGGGAGGAAGAAAAGGAGAAGCGCGGAGGAACAATGATCGACGAGCTAGGGTTACGATCCGTATCCCTCCGACGTATACCCCAAGAAGGAAATCGGATCACACAAGTGTTTCTCTTCTCAACCGACACAGGGCTCTCGGACGTCTCTGCGGTCGCTGGACCAAAGCGCTAGGCGGGGATGGGGGCGGCTCAAGCAACTGAGGAGCGTCGAGCTAAGAGGAATGGCCGGCGAGCTATCAGAACCGAACCGGGGGATCGCGGGGCTCAGTCTTATGTTGGTAGGTCACTACTTAGACCCGAATCCAAAGGCAAAATTACACGTATATCCCTTCCACGTCAGTAATTGCCGTATCTGTCCCTTTAAATCTAAATTTAGCATAACTATGTGTATATATACCTGCCCAAATCAACAGTTTACGTGGATGTCGTTATAGTTTATCTTCATCAGTTCACACACAAATAGGGTTGACTAAAAATATTCACGCGGAGGAGCAGATTTGCTTCGTGAAACATGCAAAAACGAACACTTGCAAAACAGCACTTCTCAAGAGAAAAAGTTCCTCCGGCCTTCAGAAACGAATAGCTTCCGCATCATAATTTACATTCAAAAATTACAGACTCAGATTAGTCCACCGTAAAACGAAAGCCAGTCGTTTAGCAGTAACAAACAGAAAGAAAGGCTTCATCATGCTGATCCAGGTAAACAGTGTCACTATTCATTGAAATTAAACTTCACATACATTTACAGGAAGACGTGCTTGAAACTGGAGACGACCATTCGATCAAAGTCCAAAACAATCATCCCAGGCCAACCACAAATCAGTGCAGCCATACACTATCTCAAGAACAAATTATGCTGATGCAATGAATCAGGAGAAACTGATGTAAACACCACACTGGGGATGACAAAAACCAAAAAAAAAATAAAAGTAACGTGAAAGTGCAGAAGGTAGTTTGAGAACCCTCCATCAACCATATAGGCCAGAGTGAGCAGACTGATCTGATGACTTTGGCCTTTGGTCAACGAGGGAGACAACATCAGACATTTCAAGCAAATATGTGACGAACGGGCTGCGGACACCAATTGAGGATGGAACATCTGCAACCACAAAACAGCACAACCCAAGACTTCTTTGATAAATAAAAAGAACCTTATCATCGTACAACTTCCCATAGCAACCACAGCAAGAAACTTCTACTGAGTAACACTGAAGAACATGCAGCAAACTGCAGAAACCAAGTTTGAGGCCAAACTCTGGAACCTCGGTCCTCTCTGACTCAAGCATCAATTTTAAGACATCCGATTGCAGTAGCCGGTGGTCGGTGAGAAATCCTAATCCAGTGCCACGGTGATGTCACTAATACTCTTGCAGTCTACCCAATCACATGCCGCCACAAAAATCTAGTTTGAAGCATCAATTTCCTTTCCATGATCTTCATTAATGGTTCTTCTCAATCTTCTCAACCATATATCATAATCTATAGGATAAGGAGTTCTACATAACGTATCAACATAATCAGCAAAGGCTTTCAGCACAGCTGAGATATCCCCCAGCTTCTGCTGTATGACCCTTTTCGATAAAGACATTTCTCTCCATTGAAGAGCCACTTCAACTGAATCCAGTTCAGGGAATTCTCCACCACATGAGTAGTACAGCAAGTAGATCAGACTTTCTGCATCTGACGCAGCACAGAGCTTACCTTCCTGTAGGGCATATGTTGAAGAAAAGAAAAGATTCATTGATGGGCGATCCCTTTCTTCAAGAACGGCATGACCCCACCCAATTAGGACAAAAGACGGATGCTTCCCATCATTGCTTACAAGGATAACATTCTCTGGACGGATATCACCATGCCTTATTCCAGCAGAAGATGCAATTGCAAGAGCAGATAAGCAGTCATGACAACATCTGAGAGCTTCCTCGGGACCAAATAAACCATTTCTCCTCATATTAGAAACAGTCTCACCCGCAGGAGATGTCACCAGGATTGGGGTACCACACCAAGGATGACCACAAGTTCTACCAGAAGCTGGTTTGTTGCACTTGCCAGGGTGAACCATTAGTCCAGATGCAACCATCTGGGGAAGATACTTGCTGGA